CATCAAGAGTAAAAAGAAAACCTTAAAAGCTACCAGATAGATGAGAACTACTGCCTAGAAAGGAACAAGAATCACAAGGACAGAGATTACAAGTTGTTTTTGTTATGTTTAAAGTTTTGTGGTTCCTATTATGTTGCTTTCTATCTCCAGTTCACAAAAATGGATCAATAGTGGCAAATAGATGTAGCGATGAAAATAGCAGCATAACTCCTCAGAGGAGCACCATAAACAAAATGAATAAACAGTTCTCCAGTGTAACTATGAAATAAGAAACTGCACATTGTAGGAAAAAGGAATTCTTGGGTAATGATTTTATGCATGTAGCCATAAATGCACATTGTGTTCAATGAGAGCCCGGCCGATGTGGCTCAGTGGTTGAGCATTGACCTATGAACCAAGAGGTCATGGTTTGATTCCTGGTCAGGCCACATGCCCAGGTTAGGGCTCGATCCCCAGTAGGGGGTATGCAGTAGGCAGCCAATAGATGATTCTCTCTCATCACTGATGTTTCTCTCTTCTTGCTCTCTTTCTCTCTCTGTCTCTCTCATCTCCCTTTATCTCTGAAATCAAGTAAAAAAAATTTTTTAAGTTCAATGAGAAATATACGCACTAGCAGTCCATTTGGCCCTAGTCCTCAATATGTTACCATTAAAACTAAGGCTTTGATAAATAGTAGCCCGAAGCCATGGAAAAGGTCTTCCATGACCTTCCAAAAAACCAATCACTGCAGTTTTTTCAAAGGAAGCACAAGATTTAAGCTTTCTAATGAGAAATTAATAATTCTTGTTACTAAAGGTGCAGGGGAGACCAAAGCTACAGAAGCATCATTCTAAGTTGCTCCCTCTTAAATGCACATAAAAGCCAGGCATACAATTACCAAGAAGACTGTAAACCTGCTGGGAAGATCATGATGCAGACTTTGCTCGGAGAGAAAGCCAGAAGGACTATTGACAAAACCCCTCTATCGGATGACACTGTTGTACGTTGCAGGCATCACGACTATACGTAGTAGAAAAGCAATGACAGCATCCACAGGCCAGGGGCTCCTGTGCCTTTGAGCAGCCAACCCTGCACATGGTGAGGCACACGGCGAGCCCTCGGCACAGTGAGTGCCAACAGGAAGGGAAAATGCTGCCCGGCTTGCCATTTGGCTGGTCATTCCAAGCCTGGTACGAGGCTTTTACTTACAGATCATGGTCCCTGTGAGTCCTGGGCTAGGAATGGGCCTGTGGGTCGGTGCCAGAGTTGACGTGGCCGTGACTGCCAGGAGGAAGGGCTCTGTGAACCAAAGGTGGCTCCACACGCTGCTCTATTCACAGAAAGGAGGTAATGGTCAACAAAATGCACCTAGGCCTTGGTTGGGGGTAAAGGAAGCCATAAAATAGATGCAAACAGCATCTCCCCCTGCCGGTCAGATGCACACCTTCTCAGCTTGCTGTGAGAAAAACCAGATAGGATACGGCTCAGGATGGGTTCAGTCGGGACAGACACCCATTCCAGGTGGATTTACCACCGCCTGGGACTAATGAGGTCATTTTTACGTCAGGGCTCGGGCTCCTTCCCGCTGCAGGTGCCCTTGTGTTGGCTTCTTTTCAGACAAGCTCCCTGAGGTAGAAAAATGCCCTGGGTGAGGGGCTCAGCGGGTTGGAGCCTCCTCCCCTACCCCAAAAGGCTGTGGGTCAAACTCCCATCGGGGCACATACCTAGGTTGTGGGTTCCATCCCTGGTTGGGGCACCTATGAGAGGCAACCCATCCATGTTTCTCTCTCTGAAATCAATTTTTATAAATCAATTTTTTAAAAAATGGTTACAGTAGCACCAAGCCCCACATGTTCACCAGACACCATCCAAACCAATGGTGTGTCCCAGAATTCCCAGGAAAAAGTCTTGAGGTTCACACTGATTGGACGGATTTAGGTCACATGTGCTCTTCCCACCCAATCATGGTGTGGCTGCGGGTGGACCCCACTGATTGCCCCGCCCCTGCCATAATGGCCAAAACCTGCAAAACAGACAAAGAGGGAAGGTGGCAGGGACATCTCACTGATATGAAAGTATTCTCAGCATTTACACACTGAAAATACTATCTTGCAATTTAAAATAATTGAGGAAACTCTTTTTCTTTTTTTTTCTTTTTGCTACAAACTGGTGATCTGTGATGTGAAAACTTGGAGGAATTGTCCTTAAGAAGATGCTTCAAGGATCTAATACCTAAAGCACATCCCTTGCAAATCCACGTTCTTCTAAGTCGCAAATGCTTCAAACAGTTACACACGCCTCCTAATGACACTCTCCTTCAGCTTCCGGTCCCTGGAGCTTCAGGAGCCGCGGGCTTCTGTGCAGAGATGGCCAAGTCCAAGAACCACACCACGCACCACCAGTCCCGAAAATGGCACAGAAGCGGCATCAAGAAACGCCGGTCACTAAGATGCGACTCTCTTAGGGGGTAGACCCCAAGCTCCTCAGGGACATGCGCTTTGCCAAGAAGCACAACAAGAAGAGCCTGACAAGCTGCAGGCCAACAACACCAAGGCCGTGAGCGCACGCACTGAGGCCTTCAAGGCCCTGGTCAAGCCCAAGGAGCCCAGGTCCAATATCCCAAAGGGCTGCGGCCGCAAACTCAGTCGACCTGCCTACATCGCTCACCCCAAGCTTGGGAAACTTGCTCGTGCCTGCATTGCCAAGGGGCTCACGCTCTGCCTACCAAAGGCCAAGGCCAAGGGGGAAACCAACACCCAGGCTGCGGGTGTGGCTAAAGCTCAGATTCCCAAAGAGGCTCAGGCTCCCGCTCCCAAAGGTGCCCAGGCCCCCATGAAGGCTCCACAGTAGAGGCCTCTCTCTGTGGAAGTGAGGATGGAAGGTCTGGTGGGGCCCCTGGGCTGCTGTCTGTGTGGCCCTGGTGCCCTCCTGTGCTGTTTGTGCAAATAATCCTGCGGCAGGATCTGTCTGTCAACAAACAAACAAACACACAAAAAACTCTCCTTCATCCTTTCCCTCCTGAGGGAATGGGGTCAGTAAAGGGCAGGGAGGGAGCTGGCAGCATCAGGCCGGACTTTCAGATGTGGAGGTGGCTGCCATCTGAGGCTTGGAGGAGACCAGCAGGAGGAGACAACCCCCCAGAGTTGAGTTGGGGGAGTGGGGTGTGGGCCCGGTTTTAACAGCATCAACTGTTTGGCTGACCAGGCCCACACTGTCCTCCTCCTCCCACAGGTCTTGTCCTGGGAAACAAGCTGACTTTCAGCCCCTCCATGGCGGCCACAGTCCCCTGACAACCCAGCCTTCTGTCCTGGATCTCATTCCTGCCCCTTGTCTCCCACCATTGGCCCCCAGCCCTGTTTGCCCCACCCCATCCCACCCCACCCCACCCCACCCCACCACCCCTCTCCTGTCCTTTTCTTCCATCTCCTCAGGTCACTTTGTCTATCAGGTCTTCCCTCTGGCTCTGTGTCCTCCTGACTCAGTCCCCTCTTACTGCTTTGGCCACACCTATATGACTGTCCTTATTCTCTATCCCTCCAATGTCTCTAAACTAAAGGATTCAGTCCCAGTCCCTCACAGTCCTGTGTGAGGTTGTGACAGGGGGCATCCGGACATGTGAGCAGAAGCCTGTGGTGAGAGACCTGGAAGCCTTCGTTGCCTGTAAGGCCGTGTGCAGAATGCCAGCTGCCAGGGGCTCGCTCAGCATGATTCAGGCTCCACAGAGACACGGCAGGACAGACAGCTGCTGCCTGCACTGCATCCTGCGTGGCCAGGTCCTGGGAAGGGCAGAGGGATCCTGTCTGCAGGGAAGCCCCTCCCTCCAGCGTCCTCTCCAGGGAGTGGAATTGGAAAGGCCTGAGGACTCTGAAATCCCCAGCCGTCCCCTCAGCCAATGTCAACTTCAATTGCTCTTCCCATTAGTGACCCTGAGCCTTTCTCTTCTCCTATTGCAGGGGCTGTCATTTCAACACAGCACTACTCTCAGCACATCCTTGGTCCATGCGTTTAGGCTTTTGGGTTTGAGCTTCTGCTCCTATAGATATAACTGACTTTACGTGGCCAGTGGCAATTAGTGTGACCACTGCCCTCCCCCGAGGTTCCTACAGAAGAGAAGGGCATTTTCACTTCTGCAGGTGTTTATTGAACTGTTTGGACTTCATGAAACACTTACAGAGGAAAACACATTTTGAGGAAGATTCTTAATCTTTCATGTTATTGCTTTGAACTTAAAATCAATGTAAATAATTAATTTTCTAAATATGAAAATGATACTGATAGTAATGAATACAATATTACTGGTGTGTATTTAGAACATATTATAGATTTTAAATGAAAAGTAAATCAGTCAGATTTAAACAAAAAAATTCCTTATAAGCCCATTCGTAGCCTTTTGCTGGTTTGTGTGGATCAGGTTGGAGATGCGGCACGTGATGCGTTTTCATTTCTTGAAGAAAGTGTTTTATGCGTCGTTCACCAGAAGACCCCGACTGTTTAGAGAGATTGAGTCCATCCTTCAGTTTCCCTGATTCTGGATGGAGAAGGAGGAGGTGGAGGAAGCAGGGAGTGAGGCAGGTGGGAAGGTGAACAGAGCAGAGTCTGGGGCAGTCACAGGAGGGGAAGGAAAAGGGGCGCAGGAGGGAAAAAACAGAGGGACTGTGAGACCTGAGGGGAGGGATGGAGCTGGGGCCCAGGGGGGGAGCAGGTGACCCAGAGGAGGAGACAGGCCCAGGGAGAGAAGGGGAGGGAGGAGCAGAAGGGAGGAACCTCACCCCGAGAATGTTCTCCAGCTCCTGAGATGCAGTTCTTATGTGTTCTTCCTGGATAGGACAGGGCCTGAATGGCTGGCCCTGGTTGTCCACGAAGGTGTCCCAGCAGTACTGGAGCTCTATGGGAACAAGGAGGGAAAGGTGAGCTCCGTCTAGAGCAGGGAGGGCCCAGGTCGCTGACTCTAGGGACACACCCTCCCCATCAGAATCTCCCTGCCCCCTTTCTCTCTCCTCCCAGGACACTGAGCTCATCCCTCAAATTCTTTCTTCCACTGGAATCTGAGGCAGCCCCTCCCCTTCTACCAGGAAGGACCTGGGTCCTGATGGTACAGGGACCCACCTCCCCCCTCCCAAGGACCCCTTCTCTCCCCTGAACTCTCTCCTCCAGGGGACTCCATCCTCTCCAGACCCAGCAGCACCCCTGCAGGCAGCTGACAGGCTTCCCCACCTGGATTCTCCTCCTGCCCCCTCTGTGTAGCCATTTCCCAGCCTCTCTGCCCGCCCACCTCCCACCCTCAGGAGTCCCTGCTGACCGTCGCGGGTCATGATGGCGAGTTGGGCCCCAGCGTCCCGCAGCTTGCGCAGCCCATCCTCATATGTATAAGGTTTGGTATAGATGTTCTTATATCCATCGGATTTTTTATAGATGCGAGCAGCGAAGATGCGCAGGCTCACGTGTCTGTTCTCTCCCAGGAATTCCACCAGTATCTGGGCACAGTTAGGGCAGGGGCTCCAGTTGATGTAGCAGGTGAGTCTGTACTGCTTCCCCTCATCCAGTTGCCAAGAACCGAACCGTTCCAGGAAGCACAACTCTGCATGACGGAGTACCTGAGCACAGAGCGGGGAGAAGAGGGACCTGTCACTTGCTGTGAACAGGGGAGGGTGGCACCAGCCAGAGGCAGGCGAGGCTCTGGCCTCCAGCACAGGATTGAAGGGGCACAGCTCAGCGTCAGGATGAACGCTATTTCAATGCAGGATCTACACGGTCAAAAGTAAGGCGACTCATGCATCACATAATATCAGCATTTACAAAGGGCACATCAGCAGTGAGGACTTTCCTACATCAGCAAACCATGGCTCCCATGGCTCTGTAACTGATCAGTCTTCACTTACCCTGTCGATATTCCATTCACCATGGAATTTCATTAGTTTTGATTTTTTAAAGTTTTACATTAAATATGGTTCTTTTTTCAAATCCTCACCTGGGGAGATTTTTTCCATTTATCTTTAGAGAAAGGGTGGAGGGATGGAGGAGGGGGCAGAGAGAGTGAAACATCAACATCCACTGGTTGCCAACCCCACACTCCATGACACGGGGCCAGGGATCAAAGCTGCAACTGAGATATGTGCCCTTGACCTGGAACCCGATCCCTGGCCCCTGGATGTGCAGGCTGATGCTCTAACTACTGAGAACACAGATCTGGGCTCCATGTGATTCACCTTGGTACAGAGTTCCCAGAGAGCCTCGATTTGGTGCCCAAAGCCTATGCCTTCAGGAGCTGCACCTAGTCGGGCCCTGCAGGGAGACAAAGAGCTGAGGGCATCCCAGCCGGTGTGGCTCAGTGGGTTGAGCAGCGACCCATCCACAAACAGGTCACCGGTTCCATTCCTGGTCAGGGCCCAGGCCCAGGTTGCAGGCTTGATTCTCAGGAGGAGGCGTGCAGGAGGCAGAAGTCAACCAATGATTCTCTCTCATCACTGATGTTTCTATCTCTCTCTCACTTCCTCTCTGGAATCAATAAAATTCTTATAAATAAATAAATATAAATAAATAAATATCTGAGGACAGAGGGAGGAGGCAGCTGAGCCCCAAGGTCCTGGGCCTGATGCCACAGGGGTGGGTGCTTCCTCCAGGCAGGGGAGCTCTCCCTCTGCTCCCCTACCTCCAGCTCCAGCCTGTGCACCAGCACCTCCACACGCTTCCACTCTGGGCTTCCCCCTGTGCTGCGCCCAAGGGTGACACAACTCTGCGGGAAGAAGGGGTGAGGGCACCGAGGCAGAGGTGCGGGAGACACGGGATGAGTGTCGCTGCTGGGCTCACAGGGTTATGGAGATTAGCCCACCCGCCCAGGGAAGGATTTTCAACCAGGGGCTCAGGGAGGAGGAAGAAGTCAGGCCCACGGAGCTAGCGCAGAGCCCTGGTGGCAGAGGATGGTACCTGGGGACCCAGGAGGCGTCCTGGGCTACGTGCAGCTGGCAATGCACTTGTGGGGACAGCACCCTGCCAGGCTGTCCCAGGAGTGACTGGAGGGAGCACCAAGGGGGAGCTCTGGCTCTCTGGCCAAGGAGGCCCTGGCTGGGGCCAGGGGAGGAACGGCCTTTTGTCCAGGTGC